TTCTCAACTCCTGCCTACATTTCTGTTCATATGTTCAGCCTTTATTATTCTTCCTGTGAAGAACATTTCTTCACCCCTCTACTGGGTTAATGATGGCTGGGCCACTGCAGGTTACTTAACTTTTCACTGAACCACTTACTTAGTAGCTTTTAGAATCATTTAGTTGAACAATATGCTTTTTAAATTAACTGTTCAGTTAATTTCAATTCAACCGACATTTACTAAGTACTTGTTATATGACATGTATTGATCTAAATGCTATAGGAATTACATAGAACACTTTTATCATTTGTTCATGCAGTCATTCAGTAAACATTTTCTTGAGTACCTGCTAAGGACCAGATTCTGGATTTGGGGTTTGGTTTCAAGAAATTGAATTGGACAAGGTTTCTCCTTCAGTACATAGAATCAAGGAAAAGTTATAAAACAGTGTGGTAATTTTAGTGATCTAGATGTGAAACTAGGCATTATGGTCATCTTTGGAGAGACTGCTTCACCGAACCTCTTTGGGTCAGGAAAAGCTTCATAGCAGGAGATACGCTTAAAGGCTGAGTAGGGGCTTAGAGTCCACTGGAAAGATAAGACCCATATACTAGGGGTTAGTTATGTTTGGTTATAAAGCCAACTTCTAAGTTCTATGTGTTATCATTGACTTCCCCACCCCTGCTGCCCAGAATTGCATACATGCAACATTTGCCTTTTTTCTGGTTAGTTTAGGGGCCTTAGAACTAGTGTTTGGGACCTAATTACTGCATGAATGCGTATTTCTGTATTCCAAAGTAGGAATAATAACATAAATACATAAAAATAATCTCATGATGGTAGGACGCATTACAAAGTCTTTCCCCATCCATCATCTCATCTCACCTGTTCTTATAGAACAGGTTAGTGCCTGTGGGTTTCCTTAGTGAGTATCTTAAGCATTGTTACAGATAGATATTAGCACAAGAATTAGCACTGAATAATTATGTATGGAGGATTTACAAATAATTTTTTCTCTCTTTATGTCAAAGTGATCATACTGTATTGTCTGATTTTATTTAGATCACAGACCAGCTCTGCCCATAACCAGGTATCTAAGGAAGAGTCCCTTCTCTACTCTGTGCCTCACCTGTCAAATAGGAATATTGCTACTATTGTAGCAATATTGTAATATTACAATATTGTAATACTAACAGTAATGCCAATTTCACCTCATTGGCTTGAGGTGAAGAATAAAATCATTAATCCATGTGAAAACACAATATATATAACTGATCACAGTTGAAAATACAAAATGTATCTTTTGAGTGACCAGATTGTTGGCTACTTTGTCAAGGTCAATTCAGCTTAATTAAATAATTTTCACTTGTTTCTTTCACTTGTTTCTGAGGTAGCTTTGTCTTACTTTCTTCTGTTTACCCAATAGTGACTGCTGGCAAGTGCTATATGTTCAGTAAACACTTGTAGATTGCATTTTTTAAAGTACCGATCTTCTGAAGTCCAGTGCTGGAAATTTGTGAGCTACTTATATTTCTGCTTAGCATTCCTAACGCCTCTGATTTAATTTCTAGATTATAAGTTCCATTGATAGAACCCTTATAAATATCACATGAAGAAGATGAACATTACCTTTAGGCCATGCAATTTACTTTTTAAAAATCTGATTAATTTCAACACAATCAGCCAGGATGTCAGAAGATCTCAGTGCCTTTGATAGATGCTGACAGGTGAGGAAATTAAAATCAGGGAGGGAAGCAATTAAATACTGGCAAACATTACTTTAATGAGACAACCAAATTGTTCATAAGCCATGGAGTACGTTGTATTCTTGATAAATGTCTTAGGGTATCAGGTGAGCGTGCATTTAAAAATGTTCTTCATACGGGATTTGATGATGGGAATGAAGGACATTCCATGTCTGTCCTCTAAAGCCTTTGGCCTAATCTCACATTTCAATTGCTTTTGGGGTCAGACTTCCTAATAATCATGTTTAAGATTATGACATTGTTTAAGTTATAAGTAATCCTCTCACCACCACCTTTACCAATCCATAAAACTTACCAAAATGCACAAAGTCTAGACAAAATAATTCTTGGCCTTTTCACAGTGGTTTAGGGACAACCATGGTCAAGACCCATGGAAAGAGAAGTAGAAAAATGTATATTTAATACAACTTCTGATTTAAAAGACTTGGGAATTGTAGTGCTAAAACCAGAACCCAGGTCCTCAATCCCCATTCCAGTGTTCTTTTTAAGATAACCCCCCTTGTTCAGAAAGAAAATCTGGGACCACAAGACTGAAGACTTACTTGTTTATTGGCTTAGAGGAAGTTTTTACAAAGCTCTGTCAACTGCTCATTTGTACTATAGCACTTGTAAAGTATCAAGTATTAAGGGGCATCTATACATTGACCTTAGTGATTCTCATGCCATTTGGTTGGAATTTTTGTTCGTAATGTCAGGATCATCATCTAGAGTTATGTTGCCTAAAAAATGTTCTGGGGTGCAGTGGTCAATCCAGAGGTTACCATGGTTTGTGAAAAACCTGTCGAAACAGGTCTCTCTGCTCTCTTCATTTCTCATGTCCTCCCATTCCTCTCTTCTTTTTTCCTTATTCCCCATCATTTTTCTTTCCTCCCTCCCTCCCTCCCTCCCTCCCTCTCTCTCTCTCTCTCTCTCTCTCTCTCTCTCTCTTCCTTTGGCTCCATTGTTCTCTCCTATTTTCCCCCAAATACAGTAGAAATGAATTATTTTATACTAGTCCCAGCTAGGTTTGGTGAGTCTTGCTTTTGCACTGATTCTAATTAATAAGTTGAAATTTTGTAAGTTAGAGGTTGATCATCCTGATTTCTTTATTTTTGGTTGAAATTGTTTCTGGAGATGAGAACAGTTTTCTTGGGAGAGGATGGGTGATTTGATAGAGAATGCAGACCTGCCAGGTTCTGGGCCAGCAGTCATAAAATCTACAGAGGCAGCCAAAGATAACTGACTTTATTACCAAGACGCTAGAGTGGGATTTGTTGTTTGTCCCAGAAGTCTTTATGGGTCTAGTGGAGAACTCCACTGCATTGGGAAATACTCGAGTTACTGAGGACACGTGCCGCTCAAACCGTGTGAGAAGAGGACGGTGAACTTCTTAGATAGAAGGTTTCAGCTTTTCTGCGGTGTGAGATGAAACTTAGTGATGGAGACCCCTTTACGAAAATTCAGTGGTACAGCCTTCTGTTGTTTCTGTGGCTTGTGTTTCAATAGCTTGCTCAAGGATGTCACATCTCTGAAACTTCACTGGGGAGAGCTGAGAAAGTGTTCATGGTAACCCTGTATCGAACAGTCTTTTGCCTCAGCTTAGTAATGTGTCACCTTCTGGTTAGACCACAGATGTGAAGTCTCTCTCCTTTCACTTGCCAGTGAAGCAGGACTCAGTACTAAATGTGCTTTGGTGCCTTGACAATGGACTTTTATTGGGTATATACTCATTTTACCTTTCCCTCCAAATAGAGCGCCCCCAAATGGAAGCCTGCATCGTGTAGTAGAAGAGTCCTTACTTGTTTGGGGATCAAGATACAAGGTTAAACTTTTATCTGTTCCATGTTAACCACGTGATTTTTGAAGTTTGGTTTCCTGATTGGTGGAATTGGGGTAATAAGGTTTCATTGGGGTTATGTCGAGGATGATTTGAGAAAACATGGTCATGAAATATTTTTCAAACTATAAAGCATAATGTTAAAGATGATTAATGTTTTGATATTGGTGGCATATGATAAGAGTTTCTTGCAGAGTATCCTATCAACCATGCTCTATTCATATCATCTGATTTGAGCCCTGTATGAAAATGGGATATATTCATAAAACTTCTCAGAGGTCTTTACTTCTCAGTAAATCTATCCTTATGTTAAAACAAATCCCCTTGTTCTTGCACTCCTGTTGGAAGCTCCATCTCTCTGAACCTAAAGCACGATACAGGCACAAACTTTAGAATGATCTGTGATAAACCTTCAGGCCATTCACCTAAAGCAGTTTTTTTTTGCTTTTTGGGGTGGAGGGGACACGTGATTCTTAACTTTTGAGGTTTTGTCATTTGGAACAAAAGTTCTTTGTGCTGCTGTTAGGTGAGGCCATGTTAAGATTGATATAGATAAATATTGTGGTATTTTAAAACTAGGGTCACAAATCAAGGAAATACCCAACCCAGAGACATCCTCTAGCCTTGTGTGCTTAGAGCATCATTCTTTGATCATATAAGTGTGGGCTCATGGGAAGAAATGTTACCGTTTTTTATACCACCGCTGTCCATGCCTATAAATATGAAATAATGTAGGAGAATCTTCCACAAAAAGTTTAACTCATCTTTGGCTATGAAGTAGGTATTATGTGCCACATTTACGTGTAAGGAAATTGACATTTGGGGCTTAAGTAACTTGCCTAAGACCATTGGTAAGAAGAAGACAGGTCTGACTGGCTCTAAATCCCATGTGTTTTTGCTACTTCTTCACATCAATCAAATAGCTGGTTTTATTTCATTATTCCCTCTTCCACTAAGTCTAGTGGATCTAGTCAATGAGTTGTCTCTCCTTGTGTTTTCCCACCTAATATCCTACGTATAAAGGAAAGACCACTGGACGAACAGGCAGAGCTCAGAGGGTTCAAACTCTCACTCTGCCATGTACTGTACTATGTAGTCTTGGACAATTTACCTACTTTTTCTGAACTTCAGTTTTCACATCTGTAAAATCAAGACAATAATACCCATTTCCCGTGACATTTGTGAAGTTAATCGAGAGATGTTAGTTCCCTTCTCATCCTCCTTTTCACTCTGTGAGCTTCTGTTTCCTCACCTAAGAAGTGGGTAGAATAATCTCTTCCTGCTTCTTCACCAGGTTGTCATGGGGTGAAATGAGATAATGAATGTGAAAGTGTTTTGCAAACAAGAAACTGTGGTATAGATAGAAGAGTTTATGATTGTTAATGAATAAATAGAGCTTGGAACTTAAGAGTAACCTTTACCTGTTTCATTTACAGACACTAGCATTGCAGTTTGCTGAACCTTGTGTCCACTGATCATTCCAAGAGCTAGCTGTCCAAGGTAAGAGAAGCTTGGCATCATCAAGTTTATGAAATGCTGGTAGGCATCTTAGCCAGTAAAGTTTAAGGTAGATTTCACTCCCAACAGAAGAAATAGTAAGGTATTTCATGGGTATCAAAACCTGAAAAATGGCCAAGACAGTGAACTTTGCCCGTTTTATGTCTTCTTGATTTGATTTCTCTTTCAATTCCTAGCCTTTTAAGGTTCAAATCAAAAGCACAAGAGTCTGGGCACCTTGGAAGTATTTAAGTGTCCACAGTATGGCCTTGTCCTAGGATGGCCTTTTTTTTTTTTTAATTAATTATTGGAGTATAGTTGCTTTACAATGTTGTGTTAGTTTCAGCTGTGCAGCAAGGTGAATCAGCTATACATATACATATATCCTCTCTTTTTTGGATTTCCTTCCCATTTAGGTCACCGCAGAGCATTGGGTAGAGTTCCCTGTGCTATACAGTAGGTTCTCATTAGTTATCTATTTTATACATAGTGTCAATAGTGTATATATGTCAATCCCAATCTTCCAATTGGGATTGGGATTGACATATGTACACTATTGATACTATGTATAATAGTATCATAGTCTTCCCCCCCCCCACCCCCCCGCTCCCCCTTGGTATCCATATGTTTGTTCTCTACCTAGGATATTCTTATCTAGTGCCTTCTTGTATCCCCAGTGAGTATATAGCAGGAGGGCTTTCTCTCCAGTTTCCTGGCTGTCGATTGAGTGCATTTTTCACTACACTATGCTACCAGTGTTACCTGGCTCTGAAGGGGCCAAACTTTACTCGTTGGGTCTGTCACTGCCTCTTAACTGCCCAAAACACATCTCAAAAGGACATAATCTAAGGCTACAACAAAAAAAAATCTTAAGAATACAGGACATGAGTTAGAGTCTTTCGAAACCCAGGGCCTATAGTGTCTTCTTTCCACTCTCCTGGGGAACCAGTGTGAAGGAGTTGGGACTTTGGCAGAAGAATTCATTCTTCTTGAGTTTGTCAAGAAAACAGTGACCAGTTTAACAAAGACCCAGAATAGCCAAGGCAATCTTGAGAAAGAAAAACGGATCTGGAGGAATCAGGCTCCCTGACTTCAGACTATAGTACAAAGGTACAGTAATCAAGACAGTATGGTACTGGCACAAAAACAAATATAGATCAATGGAACAGGGTAGAAAGCCCAAATATAAACCCATGCACATATGGTCACCTTATTTTTGATAAAAGAGACAAGAATATACAATGGAGAAAAGACAGCCTCTTCAATAAGTGGTGCTGGGAAAACTGGACAGCTACATGTAAAAGAATGAAATTAGAACACTCCCTAACACCATACACAAAAATAAACTCCAAATAGATTAAAGACCTAAATGTAAGGCCAGACACTATAAAACTCTTAGAGGAAAACATAGGCAGAACACTCTATTACATACATCACAGCAAGATCCTTTTTGACCCACCTCCTAGAGAAATGGAAATGAAAACAAATGGGACCTGATGAAACTTAAAAGCTTTTGCACAGCAAAGGAAACCATAAACAAGCAAAAAGACAGCTCTCAGAATGGGAGAAAATATTTGCAAATGAAACAACTGACAAAAGATTAATCTCCAAAATTTACAAGCAGCTCATGCAGCTCAATATTAGAAAAACAAACAACCCAATCCAAAAATAGGCAGAAGACCTAAAAAGGCATTTCTCCACAGAAGATATACAGATTGCCAACAAACACATGAAAGGATGCTCAAAATCACTAATTATTAGAGAAATCAAAACTATAATGCGGTATCACCTCACACCAGTCAGAAAGGCCATCATCAAAAAATCTACAAACAATAAATGCTGGAGAGGGTGTGAAGAAAAGGGAACCCTCTTGCACTGTTGGTGGGAATGTAGATTGATACAGCCACTATGGAGAACAGTATGGAGGTTCCTCAAAAAACTAAAAATAGAACTACCGTACAACCCAGCAATCCCATCACTGGGCATGTACCCTGAGAAAACCATAATTCAAAAAGAGTCATGCACCACATTGTTCATTGCAGCTCTATTTACAATACCCAGGACATGGAAGCAACCTACATGTCCATTGACAGATGAATGGATAAAGACGATGTGGCACATATATACAATGGAATATTACTCAGCCATAAAAAGAAACGAAATTGAGTTATTTGTAGTGAGGTGGATGGACCTAGAGTCTGTCATACAGAGTGAAGTAAGTCAGAAAGAGAAAAACAAATACTGTATGCTAACACATACATATGGAATCAAAAAAAAAAAAAGGTTCTGAAAAACCTAAGTGCAGGACGGGAATAAAGACGCAGATGTAGAGAATGGACTTAAGGACACAGGGATGGGGAAGGGTAAGCTGGGACAAAGTGAGAGAGTGGCATGGACACATATACACTACCAAAGGTAAAATAGATACCTAGTGGGAAGCAGCCTTATAGCACAGGGAGATCAGCTCGGTGCTTTGTGACCACCTCGAGGGGTGGGATAGGGTGGGTGGGAGGGAGATGCAAGAGGGAGGAGATATGGGGATATATGTATATGTATAGCTGATTCACTTTGTTATAAAGCAGAAACTAACACACCATTGTAAAGCAATTATACTCCAATAAACATGTTAAAAAAAAAAGAAAACGGAGACAAGTTTAAAAAAACAAATAAGGAAGCATAAAATTTATTTTATGTGTTTAAGGAAGCATAAAAAGTTTTAAAATTTGGAAAATGTGAGTTTTCCTCCGCAGATAACCATCTGATATCTGTACTTCCCAGCTAGCTCCTTTATGCTCTCTCTAATCTTCTAGAAGTCTTAGCCAAAAAGAGGTGAAGTAGTCACTACGGTGATCCTAACTGCAGGCCCTATAGAATAGCAACTTTGTGGAAGATTTGATATCAGCATTTCAAGTACTGTAAACATTTGTGCTGATGAATATTTTGATTATCCCTTAGGTATGTTTTTTCCATGATCTTTTTTTTTTTTTTTAATATTTATTTATTTATTTAGGCTGTGCCAGGTCTTAGTTGCGGTACGTGGGATCTCTTAGTTGCCGCATGCGGGCTTCTTAGTTGCGGCATGCACGTGGGATCTAGTTCCCTGACCAGGGCTCGAACCTAGGCCCCCTGCTTTGGGAGTTTGGAGTCGTAGCCACTGAACCACCAGGGAAGTCCCTCTTTCCATGATCTTAAACATAAATTTTTTTTTTTTTTTTGCGGTACGCGGGCCTCTCACTGTGTGGCTTCTCCCGCTGCGGAGCACAGGCTCCGGACGCACAGGCTCAGCGGCCGCGGCTCACGGGCCCAGCTGCCCCGCGGCACGTGGGATCCTCCCGGACCTGGGCACGAACCCGCGTCCCCTGCATCGGCAGGCAGACTCTCAACCACTGTGCCACCAGGGAAGCCCAAACATAATTTGAAAAAAAATTTTTATTGGAGTACAGTTGATTTACAATGTTGTGTTAGTTTCAGGTGTATAGCAAAGTGAATTAGTTATATATATACATACATCCACTCTTTTTTAGATTGTTTTACCATATAGGCCATTACAGAGTACTGAGTAGAGTTCCCTGCAGTAGGGAATTCCTATGCAGTAGGTCCTTATTAATTATCAATTTTATATATAGTAGTTTAAACATAATTTTAATTACACAGACCTTTGAAAGAATTGAGGTTTGTTGGTACTGACCCATATTTGCAGGAGTTAGCAATTTAGAAGTGAGTGGAAATTTTGGTGTTACATTAATACGGTTTTCAAAGCTGATATTCATCATACACATGGAATAAGAAGAGGTCATGTGCAAAGAGGGCTGGTGAGGGGGCACATATGGACTGTGAAACTCTTCTGTGAGCAGATCAGACCTAGAAGCCACTTGTGTTGTTTAGGCTTTATGCTCGTTTCTACAAAAGAGAGGTTTACTAAAAAAAAAGTTGGTAGCCAAAAATACAGGAGTGACTCCTGCCCATCTTTTTGTCCCTCTCTAGTCCATAAAACACCTCTGCAAAAAAATCCTTTCCTATGTACTTCATGTATTTTCAGGGATCAACACATCAGAGAAGAATGTACTGTAGACATGTGATACCATAATTTCTGGTGGCTCTGTTAGGCAGAGATCTATTTGTTCACTTAGAAACTGCAGTTATTATATTAACTTTCCTCCAAATGCCAGTTGTTAAATATTAATAAAATAAATTTTGAAAAGTGGTTAACTCTGCTCCCACTTCCTCACTGAAACCCATCTTGAAGCTACAAAGAAGAGTTTAAGCAAGGCTGGAAAGCTTATGAAAAATTGCTCTTGAGAAAGAGGAATTTCATCTATCTATCTCTCTATCACTCCATCCATCCATCTATCCATTCATCTATTCATCTATTTTTTTTATTTTGGAAGTAGATTTGGTGGGGAAAAAAGGATAAAATCTTCTCACATAGCCTTTGGAAGGTAGAGAAGTAAATATTCTGGGGGCATGCTACAAGAAATTTAAAATAATCTTGTGGTAATAATTGGTGTCAGTGGCAGTAATGAAGAAAGAATAACGGTTTAAATAAATAATTAGGCTTGACAGTAGATGTGTCAACAGGTACCCACTTAATTAGTGTAATCATTGTGTTTCTCAGCTTTCAACATTGATCCACTGACTGTGGTGTGTTCCATGTCCCATTTCCAAACCGAATCTATTTAAAGCTGTACTCCATGGAATCTGAAACTGTATCCCCTGTTTACTATTTAGAGCTGATACCTGATGTTCTTTAACAGGGAAGATCTGTACTTGAGCAAGAACAGGCTTCTGCCTTTGGTAGACTGTTGATTATCCCTGTTTTCCACAGGGTGATTCATTAGCAAGGATGAATAATGCACAGTTAATTCTCATGGACTTGTCTATATTGCTACAGTGAATTGTTTATTATAATTTGGTAGAAGCAGCCCTAGTCTGCCTTAAATCCAATAAATCAGTTATTGTTATTTGAGGTAGAGTTATTGTTATTGAGTTATTGTTATTTCAAA